TGAAGAACTGGGAATGAAGCCTCTTAGGTCCGACTCGGCTCTCTATACCTACAAAATGAATGGACTGCTCAAGGGGCTCTCAGGGTCATATGTAGATGACCTGATCCGTGCTGGGGATCAAGATTTCCGAAAAATGTCCAAAAGAACATGTGAACGGTTTGAGATGGCAGACGACGAATTACCGCCTTGCACCCTTACCGGATTCAGACTAGAACTGGGCGAAAGCAGCTCACTCTCTATCGACCAACATTCCTATGTAAAGGGAATACTATCGCTTCGTGTTGATGCACGCTTTTCGGACTTTGCGTCGTTGAGAATGAAACTTGCATGGCTTACGCATACACGTCCAGACTGTTCCTATGAGGTGTCACAAATAGCACAAGTGACACGGGAGCGCTTTGACCTCCAGCCGTCAAAAGTTATCAAGAACTGCAATAGAATGGTGAAGCATGTCCGTATGCATCGACTTCAGATTCAAGTCCCGAAGCTTGATATTAGCTCTCTTCGTATTGTGGGTTTCTCTGATGCATCATATTGTGCAGTGACCCTGCGCTCTTTATCCCTTGTCACCGCCGTGGCGGGGCCGCGTTCCCCGCCTTTGACACGTGTGTAACACGTGTATGCTGTGCGCTCCCGTCTATGACACGTGTACTCATCCAAAGTGTACATGTACACTTTGGATGATACCACACTTGTATGATAAGCGCGCCACACGTGTACTGTGCACGCACACTTGGGAAAGTAAACCACGTGTACCACACGTGTATGACAAATGTATGACACGTGTACACCACGTGTACGACACGTATACATACGTGGTGCCCACAAGTTTCTACGCTTATTATTGTCTAATGCCAAGTGGCAATTCTAATGACGATAATTAATTATTAATTATCCATTTAGTAACCGACGCCGACGACAGCGCTCGGCCTATATAGGTCGGGTGTCGGAAGGCGCTACAGTAAAGAGGCATCAGGTGATCGGACCCCATCTCTGGTAGGATCCTCTACGGTTCCTATCTAGTTGGCTAAGTCTGGTACCTGCACCCTTCGTCGTCATCCTTTTTGTTGTTTTTCCATTACTTTTTCCCCTATTTTCTACATTTCTACACTATCTTTCTTCTTCGTTCTCCTTTCTTCTTCTTGTTGTTTACTCCTTCTAGCGCACTCCCGCTGGAGTGCACCCCTTCACGCACACCGCGATGTATCCGCGGTACCGCGTCGACTCCCCTGAGTTACCCGGACAGAGGGACTCGAACACCCTGGTGGTTACTGTACCTTGCGTCGCGCTTTCAACAGCGAGATATAAGCCCTCGTTGGCGGTGTGGAGGTGCACTGCACTACACGTCATTTGCAGGCAACTCGGACCTCACGTCCCACCTTGGTTACGTCTGCTTTCTGTCTGATGCCACTGAAGCAGTTATACCTATCGCCTTTAAGTCATACAAGGCACGTAGGGTGACGCCATCGGTAATGGAAGCGGAGGTAATAAGTTTTAGTGACATGTTTAACTGTTGTTTTACCTTGGCCGAGGATCTACGGAGTATCATGCAGGTCTAATTTATTCCAGTACAGTTATACACGGATAGCAAGTCGCAGGTCGATGGGATATCCAAGGGTACGAGGACTGCGGAAAAGAGGCTCATGTTGGACATCGAGGTGGCAAAAGAAGGATTTCGGAAGAAGGAAATCAGTGACATTGGTTTCGTGCGGAGCAACGATAATGTTGCTGATGGATTGACTAAGAAGATGCATCAAAAGGCCCTCATGGATGTTTTGCGGACAGGAAAATTATCCATTCGAGCTGAAAAATGGATAGTCAGAAACTGAACCGAAGCTCAGGTATCACGTTTACGTTTATTTGAAGTTTTCTTCTTATTTTTCAGTGTCACCTTAACAATCTCCCGTACCTCAACTACTCTTAATTGAGTTGCATCATCACCGCCGACTCGTCGTAAGATATCCTCAGTGAGCGCGAACGGAAAACGTGACGAGCTATCATGTATAATGCCCTTCTTGCAGTCTACAGCTACGCAGTGGTCCACAATGCCATGTTGTGCAATTCTGCCAATCCATATACCTGTGCACCGATTGACCAACCATTTAAATGGATTCCTATTGAATTCACCTTTCTCCGTTTTTGGGATACGCGGAACATTTATCCCGACCGGAAGCTGATGGACAAAAAGAAAAGCTGCTTTAATGTTTTAAACCTCGTCGGGTCCGAGTCAAAATATTTTTTGACTTGCAAAGCGGTGTGTTCCTCGTACAAAGATTCGCATGCGTTGGATACAGCCGCTGGCACAACGTGTCATTATTACTCCGAATGATATTTGGTCCGTAGTCGTGAACCTCGAACTTGCGCGACCCGGAGATATGTCCACGAGCTCCAATCCCTCCAACGACCATCGATGTTCCACGACACCTTTTCATCATTTTCAACAATTGGCGTAGCAACTCATGGCTTTTTGCTGCTTCGTCTTCCTGTACGCCCGTCCCTGTGTTGAGTTGTTAGATCATCGCCAAGAAGGAATATGGGGTTAGTTTCAGCGAACTTGGCTCGATTGGTCAAAAGCTTTCCGGTCCTCTGGTCACTCCACCGCACGCGTACAGTGCACCATCACGCAGTGTCTTTCCGCATTTCCCAGTTGTGCCGTCTCCAACAACGATACGCTCGATTCCCCATGTCATCTGGCCTCACCGATACTAGATATTGGAACACCTCCCCGGAGATTTGTGTCCACTTTTGTTCTCAGGTGGACCGTCTCGTGTGCAGGACAAGAAGTGACCGAACGCTTGCGAGTGCAGGCTATTATACGATACGAGTCGAAGCAGATGTCGGTGGCCAAGACACCACTCCAGTGCCACGTAAGCGGGACTTAGCAGTCATTTTTCCGTAATTTTAATTTCGTTTTATTTCGCAGGGACAGACAGGAATTGTCGTGAACGGATAGGGGAAATGTCAATCTTTTTGGCTTACAGCCAATAAGATTGTCTCTATTCGTTCACGGGAGATCGAGGGGTCGATGCTCCCGCAATACCCTGTGTGCGTTCCCCGCCAAAAGGGGGGGTATAATATTCTCGGCTCCCCACCCGGTGACTAGCACCTGGAGGAGGGTAGAGGAAAAAGCAGTAAACACATTTTTAGTGAAAGCTGCTTAACCATCGCGTTCGGCGTTTGGGCCTCGTCCTATCCTGCACTAATACTAATTTCCGTGTCTGTCTGTGTGTGCGTGTGTGCGTTCCCGCGCTGCCATTGGCGCACGGGGGCGCTGCCGTGACAAGTGGCGGCCACGGGCGGGGCCTGGCCGCAGGCCAGGTCCGCCATGTGGGCACGAGGTGGCTTTAGGCACGATCGTAGCACTACAGTACTGTACAAATTTAAATTTTGAATGATACACTACAGTACAGAAAAAATAAAAAATACACACCCGACCCGCTTCACGTTCTCTACCGATCCCCGCGCACACCGTCTACGTGAAGTGAGTAAGTTAATAACTGTCCTTAATGCTCCGGCCAGCTTGCTGACAGCGGCATTTGAGCGCACACGAACGCTTACTGACTATAAACGGTGTGTATCTTTTCTGCGAAGTGTCTACTCAAGAAGAACACCAAGAATTGCGAGCCGCGCGCCGCGCCGCTACCCCGATCCGCCTGAACTTTTCCGAGTCCCCCACAGCGTCGACACGTGTCAACGTAACTCATCCAGCCCCGCCCTGTGCGCCCGCCCCACGTGTCCACGTCCCCTCGATTGCCCCCGCGCCCGCCCCACGTGTACCGCGCGCCCCTCTGCCACGTGTACCACGTCTTCCCCCGGCCCCTGAGCCAGCACCCGCACCACGTGTCTCGCGCGCAACGGTCCCACGTTTTACACGTTTACCTCCGCCTGTCATTCCTACGTTTCGTGGGTTACGTGTGCCACGTGCGATCGAGCGGCCGCGTGCGCGCACGTTGCCAGCTGTCACTGCTGTGTTGCGCAGTGTTCCCGTATACACGTGTGACACCGGCAACTTTCATTGCTCGCGCGCGGTACTGTAGGATGGGCATGCGCATACTGAGGGGAACGTGGCTCAAGTGAATCAAGCGGGCCGAACATTCCGGTGCGAGGTGTGTGCGTGCACGGTTGCCACTGCACACGACTTCAGGCGACATCTGGCGGGCAAGAAACACAAGCGTTAGCTCCGATCCATCACGGGATAGTACAAGAAAATAAAGGCCCTATTGTTACTATTTTGCTAATTGCTCTCGCGGACGACCTAGCTGGCTGACGTTGCGTTTAGACCTTTGAGGACTGCTTGCTACGACTCATAGCAATATACAACGGACCTCTCGCACTTGCGTCAACCCTAGCTGCACTTACAAGGATTTCACTAGCGTGCCGAGCAGAACGGAAATGGCGGGACCAGCGGATGAAGACGTGGCAGAAGCAAGAAGGCAGCAAAGAAACGCGTATGCAAGGGCAAGAAGAGCGCAAGAGACTGAAGCTGATGCTCAAGCACATCGTGAAGCAGGTCGAGACCGTGCGAGAATCCGGAGGGCTCAACAAACCAAATCTGAGACTGCAGCGCGTCGCCGAACCAACCGGGAACGTACTGCAGCACGACGAGCAGCAGAGACTCCTGAGCAGCGCCAAGAGCGTCTCCGACGAGGCAGGGAGAGAGCAAGGGCGCGCAGAGCGGGAGAAACAACCCCCCTCCGAGAATCACGGCGCGAAGCGCATCGCATTGCGACACGGAGCGCTAGAGCGGAAGAAACAACCCCCCTCCGAGATGCACGGCGCGAAGGGAGCGCATTGCGTCACGAGACGCTAGAGCAGAGGAATGTACTCCCATTCGTGAAGCGCGGCGAGACCTTGACCGTCTCTCCACCCAACGATCAAGGGATGCACAGGACACACCGACTCGGAATGCGCGGCAAGGGTCCGACCGCCAGGCTCGAAGTGCTTCCCGACAGCTCTTATCTCCACTTCCCGACTCCTCGCCTTCATACCGCGATCTCGGCATGATCTGTACTGAGTGTTCGCACTGCAAAGCTCTGCATTTCGTCCAAGAACGCCTCTTGAGCAGTTCTGCGGCAGGGCCGATGTTTTCCACTTGCTGCGAGAAGGGAAAGCTGTCATTGCCCCTTCTCACCGACCCGCCAGCTCTTCTGCGCTCTCTTCTCATCGATGATACTCAAAGGTCCCGCCGCTTCCGTAAGAACATTCGAGCATACAATGCAGCGCTGTCTATGGCATCCGTGGTCGCCAAATGGGTGAATAGAGGGCCCGGTTCTTCCAATTTTAACCCAACAATGACGATGCAGGGCGAGATGTACCATTACATGGGTCCCATGATGCCATCCGAGGGGCGGGTGCCTTCCTACGCTTCCGTTTACATTCACGACACTGCCTACGCCACCCAGATGCGTACAAGGCTTGGAAACTCTACACGACTGGAAGAGGCATTGATGACGCAACTAACGCACATGCTGCACGAATGCAACCCCTACGTGCAGACATTTCTGTGTATGCGAGAATGGGCTCAATCTCCTCACAACAACACTCCAGTCGCGTACCAGATGGTCAACCATGCCGACCGCAGGCCAAGTCATGAGCACGTGCGCCGGTACAATGGTCCCGAAGCTTCTGAAGTGGCAGCATTGATCCCTGGAAATGAAAACGGAGAGATTGGGCGAAGAGATATCGTCGTTCGCAGGCGAGGGACTCTGAACAGTAACGGGAACGAAGTGCTGGATCCGATTTCAGTCAGTCATCGTGCATAAGATGCATTGAGTTACGTGCTTTTGTTCCCGAACGGTAGAGATGGATGGTATCTAGAGCTTCGATTCTCCAGTGAGGACGACGGCAGACGTACCAAGATTACTCCGATGATGTTCTACGGATGGCATTTGTTCGAAAGGGCAGGTGAGTTCATCATGATCTTACACGCAGCGCGACTCTTTCAGCAATATTTAGTTGACCAGTTCTGCAAAGTGGAGGCGGAAAGGCTTTCGAATCTCCGCCAAAACCAGACAAAGCTTCGAGGGGCGGACTACATCTCACTTCGCGACAGCCTAGGAGACTCCGGTCGTGCTGAAGATGAAGCCGACGCTGTACGTGCAGGACGATTGTTCATTCTCCCTTCTACGCACATCGGATGTGACAGCTACATGAGGCAGCAGATGCACGGCATCATTGCTATATCTAACCAAATTGGCCACCCGGACATCTTCCTCACCATGACATGCAATCCTAGCTGGCCGGAAATCACAAGAGCCCTGCTGCCCAATCAAACTCCTCAGGACAGACTGGATCTGTGCGCACGTGTGTTTCGTCTCAAATAAAGGATCTCATGTCCTTGGTCATCAACGAGGATGTGTTCGGAACCGTCGTTGCCCATGTACGAGTCATCAAATTTCAAAAACGAGGTCTTCCCCACGCTCATGTGGTATTCTTCCTAGATGAGGTCTCCAAGAATGATCTGCGTAATCCCGAAAACGTCGACCGCATTATCTCTGCCGAGATCCCGTCTGCCCAAGATCCAGAACTCCAAGAGGTCGTGCTTAAGCATATGATTCACAATCCGTGTGGAGAACGCAATCTAACAGCCGTGTGCATGGGCGAGCAGTACTGCAGGAAAAGGTTTCCAAAACCGTTCAAACACGAAACCAGCCAGTCCGAAAGTGAGTACTGCATCACGTACCGCAGAAGGTCCCCCTCGGCAGGTAGCGTATCCATCGAGCGTCCCTCCCGTATTGGCCGACGACAGCAATCTGTCGTGGTCGACAACTCCTGGTTCGTGCCCCACAGTCCTCTACTTCTAAGATCGTTCGCTTTCCATTTGAATGTGGAACTCTGCGTGTCACGCGTTGGCGGAATCAAGTACCTCTTCAAGTATGTGTGCAAGGGACAAGACCGAGTGACCATGGAAATCACTGCCAAAAACGAGTGCTACGACGAGATCTCGAACTTCCAAGATGCCAGATACGTGTCTGCATCGGAGGCCGCATGGAGGTTATTCTCCTTTGATATGTTGTGGATCGCAATCTTCCAGTGGTCAGACTTTCAGTGCATCTGCCCAACCACCATATGGTTTACTTTGAGGAAGGAAGAGAGCAGGAGGCGGCGCCTTGACCGGCATCAGGTCCGAAGCTGACCGAGTGGTTTAAAGCCAACGAAAATTACCCAAGCGCGAGGCATATTCGGTACCACAAGTTTCCAAAGTACTTTACGTGGAAGAAAAGCAGCAAGTCATGGAGTCCAAGAGCATCCCTGCGAAGACGGAACGCCAGCAGCGAAGAGGAAGCCTAAGGTTTCAGTGGCACGGGCGCCAACGTAGTCGGTCGAATCTATACTGTCAGTCCGAGGGAGAATGAGCGCTACTTTCTTCGCCTCCTCCTCACACAAGTGCCGGGGGCAACATCCTTCGAGAACTTGCGAAACATCGACGGCGAGCAGTGCACCAGCTTCCGACAAGCGTGCTTACGACTTGGTTTGCTGGCCAACGATGCCGAGTGGAAGCACGCCATCCGAAATTCATTCCGGTCAAGCTTCGTTCCCCTTTCTCATCTATTCGCTACGATTCTCGCACATTGCCAACCTTCGGATCCTTTCTCGCTGTGGAACGATCACCTGCACATTTTTCTCACCGATATTCGCAATCGCGCACGCGGACAACCCATTCGAAGACAGCAGCTTCGCGATGATCAACCACGCTACATCTTACTTGCTTGGAGAGGTACAGGAGGCCCTGCAGACGGTGCGTTCCAACTGGACGCTCGCACACTTCGGACTCCCACTCCCCGATGACAGCCCGCCCGCTTCGGAACAGCCAAACGAGATCCAGACACCCGAAGCACAAGCGCAGCAGTGCGAAGAGCGACTACAGACATCGTTGCTGCTGTTAAACACAAATCAGCGCCATGCTTTTGACGAAATAGTAGGCTCCATGCTTCCAGGCGTATCCGTCTCGGCATTGCTTCAAGGATCCTCCAGCGCCGTTGCGGGACCTTCTATGCCAACACAAAGTAGTCGTCTCTTCTTCCTGGATGCTCCTGGCGGAACAGGCAAAACGTTCGTGCTCAGCGCCATTCAAGACTTCCTTCGTTCGCGCCCCAAGCAAGTCATCGCCGTCGCCACATCTGCTGTTGCTGCAGTGTTGCTCAAAGGTGGACGCACCGCTCATTCCGTGTTCAAGATTCCCATTCCTGTATCTGCCGAAGCACTTGCAACTTCTCCACAAACTCCGGTACTGGTCGTACATTGCAACATGTCGATCTTATCATATGGGACGAGATCTTCATGTGCTATCGAAACTGCATTGAGACTGTCGATCGCTCCCTTCGCGACTTGATGCAAACCGACCGGCCCTTCGGAGGAAAGTTCCTCCTGCTCGCTGGAGACTTTAGACAAATCCTTCCCGTCGTTCCGGGCGGGTCCAGAGGTCAAATCGTGAGCGCGTGCGTCAAATCTTCCCCGCTGTATCGAGAGTGCCGATTCCTGTGCCTTACCGAGAACATGCGCCTCACTGCTCTCCAAGGGGACACCGCAGCAGATGTGGAGGCTCTCAACTTCCCACAGTTCCTCCTCAGCGTCGGGGAAGGCAGACTTCAATGCGATCAGCGCCCGGAATGGATCTCACTACCACAGTCCGTAGCGTTCGAGCACACCATCCGCAATTTATGCCTCAAGGTATTCCACGGCATTCGAGACAATCACGCCGACCCTACATGGCTCACAAAGCGCGTTATACTCACCACAAAGAACAGACCGCTCGAGCAGGTCAACGAAGTCATCGGCAACATGATGCCGGGACCGTATCGAACATATTTAAGCGCAGACAAGGTCGAGAGCGAAGACACTAACGCGCTGATCTATCCCACGGAAATGTTCAACACCTTGACGGCCGGGTCTGATCTACCAGACCACAAGCTCAAGCTCAAGAAAGGTTTCATCGTCATGCTTCTGCGCAATCTCGATCCCACTTCCGGTCACGTCAACGGCGCTCGATATGTCATCGAGAAAATGACCAACAACCTATTCTTTCTACGCGTTACCTCGGGGTCACATGAAGGCAACAGACTCTGCATTCCACGAATGCCCTGCGGAGCAGGTGACGACAACTTTCCCATTCCTGGCTTTACTCGAACGCAGTTCCCCATTCGCACGTGCTTCGCCCTTACAACGAACAAAGCCCAAGGCCAGTCCTTCGGAGGCCGCATTGGTCTCGACCTACGAGATCATTGATTCTCGCACGGTCAACTCTACGTCGCATTATCGAGGACTACTCACTCAAGCAACGTCACTATCCTCACTCGAGAGTCCGATGCAACAACGCGAAACGTAGTGTACCCCGAGGTCCTTCAGTAGTCATCAAAAAAGGTAAACGCCATTCTCTTTACATCTCGCCTTTGCCACCCTTCTGAATCATTGCTCCTCCACGCGGACTTGGCTCGGCGCGCGAAGCGCGCACGGAGCCCACTTGTCCCCGCGTATACTAATTTCCGTGTCTGTCTGTCTGTGTGTTTGTGTATGTGTGTTCGTGCGCTCCCGCACGGGTTCTCATTGGCGCACGGGGGCGCTGCGGCGACAAGTGGCAGCCACGCGGACACGTGTAGAAAGCGGCGGGGCCGTGATTTAATTTCATTTTTTACTACAGTGACAAGTGTACTGTGCGGACTGGGGGCGGCCTGGCCTCAGGCCAGGCCGCTACTGGGACACGTGGCTACCACGGGCACCAATGTGGCACTACAGTAGTTTACGAATTTAAATTTAACACTACAGTAGAGTAAAAATAATAATACAGCCCCGATCTGCTTCGCGTTCGCTAGCGATCCCAGCGCACACCGTCTACGCGAAATCAGTAAGTTACTAACTGTCCTCTTTGCTCCGGCCGGCTTGCCGCCCGCGGTATTACAGCGCACGCGAACGCTTACTGACATTTGACGGTGTGTGGTTTTTTACGCAGTGTCTACGCAAGAAGAGAGAGAAGAACTACGCCGCGCGCGCCGCGCCGCGACCCCGATCCGCCTCGATTTCGGCGATTCCCCGCCAGCGACCACACGTGTCACAGTCCTACAACCAGCACCTCCGCGCGCGCCCGCCCCACGTGTACACGTCCCCAGAATTGCGCGCGCGCCCTCCCCACGTGTACCGCGCGCGCCGCTCCCACGTGTGCCACGGCTCCCACGTGCCCCTGCGCCAGCACCCGCACCACGTGTACCACGCGCTCCGGTCCCACGTGTTATACGTTTGCCCCCGCCTATCATTCCTACATTTCGTGTGCTACGTGTGCCACGTGCAATCGAGCGGCCGCGTGCGCGCGCGTTGCCAGCTGCACGTGTGCCACGTGCAATCGAGCGTCCGCGTTCGCGCGCGTTGCCAGCTGTCAGTGCTGTGTTGCGGAGTGTGCCCGTGTACACGTGTGACATCTGCAACTTTCATTGCACGCGCGCGGTACTGTGGGACGGGCATGCGCATACCGAGGGGCACGTGGCTCAAGTGATTCAAGCGGGCCGCACATTCCGCTGCGAGGTGTGTATGTGCACGGTGGCAAGTGCCCACGACTTTAGGCGACACCTGGCGGGCAACAAGCACAAGAAGAAGCTCTAATCGATCACGGGATAGTACAAGACAATAAAGGCCCTACTGTTACTTCTTTTGCTAAGTGCTCTCGCGGACGACCTAGCTGGCTGACGTTGCGTTTAGACCTTTGAGGACTGCTTGCTACGACTCAAAGCGATCTACAACGGACCCCTCGCACTTGCGTCAACCCTAGCTGCACTTGCTGAGATACCACTAGCGCGCTGGGCATAACACAAATGGCGGGACCAGCAGATGAAAACGTAGCAGAAGCAAGAAGGCAGCAAAGAAACGCGCGTACAAGGGCAAGGAGAGCGCAAGAGTCGGAATCTGAAGCTCAAGCACGTCGTGAGGCAGGTCGAGCTCGGGCGAGAATCCGGAGGGGACAACACACCGAATCTGAGGCTCAAGCGCGTCGCCAAACCGTCCGGGAACGTACTGCAGCACGAAGAGCAGCAGAGACTTCTGAGCAGCGCGAAGAGCGTCTTCGTCGAAACAGGGAGAGAACCAGGGCGCGCAGAGCCGGTCAATCACGGACAGAGGGTCCCAGAGAGTCTCCAAAGCTCCGAGGAGCAACGGAACGTGCCAGAGCCTCGAATCGAGCATCTATGCAACGCACGAGACAGGCTGAGAGCACTCCTGACCGCATAAATCGATTGGAGGCCTCTCGTGTCTCAATGCAACAGAGAAGAGCTGACGCGACAACCCCAGAGAGACATGAGCGTCAAGACTCAAACCGAAGATCCACAGAAGCAGCTAGAGCGGAAGAAAATACCCCCCTCCGAGATGCACGGCGCGAATCGGATTGCAATGCGACACGAGGAGCTAGAGCCGAGGAAATTACTCCTGCTCGTGAGGCGCGGCGAGACCTTGACCGTCTCTCCACCCAACGATCAAGGGATGCACAAGACACACCGACTCGGAATGCCCGGCAACGATCCGACGGCCAGGCTCGAACGGCTTCTCGGCAGCTCTTCCCCCCACTACCCGAATCCTCGCCTTCGTATCGCGATCTCGGCATGGTCCATATTGAGTGTTCGCACTGCAAAGCTCTGCATTTCGTCCAAGAACGCATCGTGAGCAGCTCTGCCGCAAGGCCCATGTTTTCCACATGCTGTGGGAAGGGGAAGCTGTCACTGCCCCTTCTCACCGACCCGCCAGCTCTTCTGCGCTCTCTTCTCATCGATGATACTCCAAGGGCCCGCCGCTTCCGTAAAAACATTCGAGCATACAATTCAGCACTGTCTATGGCGTCCGTGGTCGCCAAATGGGTGAACAGAGGGCCCGGTACTTCTAATTTTAACCCCACAATGACGATGCAGGGCGAGATGTACCATTACATGGGTCCCATGATGCCATCCGAGGGGCGGGCGCCTTCCTTTGCTTCCGTTTACATTCACGACACTGACTACGGTACTCAAACGCGCACAAGGCTTGGCGGAGCCTCTACACGGCTGGAAGACACACTGTTAATGCAACTGACGCACATGCTGCACGAATGCAACCCCTACGTGCAGACTGTTCTCAGTATGCGAGAATGGGCTCAATCCCCTCAACCCAACACTCCAGCCCCGTACCAGATGGTCATCCATGCCGACCGCAGGCCAAGTCATGAGCACGTGCGCCGGTACAATGGTCCCGAAGCTTCTGAAGTGGCAGCATTGATCCCTGGAAATGAAGACGGAGAGATTGGGCGAAGAGATATCGTCGTGCGCAGGCGAGGGACTCTGAACAGTAACGGGAACGAAGTGCTGGATCCGATTTCAGTCAGTCATCGTGCATACGATCCGTTGAGTTACGTGCTTTTGTTCCCGAACGGTAGAGATGGATGGTATCCAGAGCTTCGATTCTCCAGTGATGACGACGGCAGATATACCAAGATTACTCCGATGATGTACTACGGATGGCATTTGTTCGAAAGAGCAGGCGAGTTCAGCACAATCTTGCACGCAGCGCGACTCTTTCAGCAATATTTAGTTGACCAGTTCTGCAAAGTGGAGGCAGAAAGGCTTTCGTATCTCCGCCACAACCAGACACAGCTTCGAGCCGCCGACTACACCTCACTGCGCGACAGCCTAGGAGACTCCGGTCGTGCTGAAGATGAAGCCGATGCCGTGCGTGCCGGACGACTGTTCATTCTCCCTTCCACGTACATTGGAGGTGACCGCTACATGAGGCAGCAGATGCACGACATCATTGCTATATCGAACCAAATTGGCCACCCGGACATCTTCCTCACTATGACATGCAATCCAAGCTGGCCGGAGATCATAAGAGCCCTACTTCCGAACCAAACGCCTCAGGACAGACCGGACCTGTGCGCACGTGTGTTTCGTCTGAAAATGAAAGATCTCATGTCCTTGGTCATCAACGAGGAAGTATTCGGAACCGTCGTTGCCCATGTACGAGTCATCGAATTTCAGAAACGCGGTCTTCCCCACGCTCACGTTGTATTTTTCCTAGATGAAGTCTCCAAGAATGATCTGCGTACTCCCGAAAACGTCAACCGCATTATCTCTGCCGAGATCCCGTCTGCCCAAGATCCAGAACTCCAAGAGGTCGTGCTCAAGCATATGATTCACAATCCATGTGGAGAACGCAATCCAACAGCCGTGTGCATGGGCGAGCAGTACTGCAGGAAAGGGTTTCCAAAATCGTTCAAACACGAAACCAGCCAGTCCGACAGTGAGTACTACATCACGTACCGCAGAAGGTCCCCCTCTGCAGGTTGCGTCTCCATCGAGCGACCCTCCCGTGTTGGCCGACTACAGCAATCCGTCGTGGTCGACAACTCCTGGGTCGTTCCCCACAGTCCTCTGCTTCTACGATCATTCGCTTGCCATTTGAATGTGGAACTCTGCGTGTCACGCGTTGGCGGAATCAAGTACCTCTTCAAGTATGTTTGCAAGGGACAAGACCGAGTGACCATGGAAATTACTGCCGAGAACGAGTGCCACGACGAGATCTCCAACTTCCAAGATGCCAGATACGTTTCGGCATCGGAGGCCGCATGGAGGTTATTCTCCTTTGACATTGTAGATCGCAATCCTCCAGTGGTCAGACTTACGGTGCATCTGCCCAACCACCATACAGTATACTTTGAGGAAGGGCGAGAGCAGGAGGCGGCGCTTCGACCAGCATCAGGTACGAAGCTGACCGAGTGGTTTAAAGCCAACGAGAAGTACCCAAGCGCGAGGCATCTTCGGTACCACAAGTTTCCAAGGTACTTTACGTGGAAGACACGCACCAAGTCATGGAGTCCAAGAGCAACCCTGCGAAGACGGAACGCCACCAGCGAAGAGGAAGCCTACGATTTCAGTGGTACAGGTGCCAACGTAGTCGGTCGAATCTACACTGTCAGTCCGAGGGAGGGTGAGCGCTACTTTCTTCGCCTCCTCCTCACACAAGTGCCAGGTGCAACATCCTTCGAGAACTTGCGAAATATCGACGGCGAGCAGTGCACCAGCTTCCGACAAGCTTGCTTACGACTCGGTTTGCTGGCCGACGATGCCGAGTGGAAGCACGCAATCCGAGATTCATTCCGGTCAAGCTTCGTTCCTCTTTCTCATCTGTTTGCTACGATTCTGGCACACTGCCAGCCTTCGGACCCTCTCTCGCTGTGGAACGACCACCTGGACATGTTTCTCACCGATATTCGCAATCGTGCACGCAGACAACCCATTCGAAGACAGCAGCTTCGCGATGATCACCACGCCACATCTTACGTACTTCGAGAGGTACAGGAGGCTCTGCAGACCGTGCGATCCGACTGGACGCTCGCAAACTTCGGACTCCCACTGCCCGATGACAGCCTGCCCGCTTTGGAACAGCAAAACGAGATCGAGACCCCCGAAGCACGAGCGCAGCAGTGGGAAGGGCGACTACAGACGTCGTTGCCGCTGTTGAACACAAATCAACGTCATGCCTTTGACGAAATAGTGGGCTCCTTGCTTCCAGGCGTATCCGTCTCTGCATTGCTTCAAGGATCCTTAAGCGCCGTTGCGGGACCTTCTATGCCGACACGAAGTGGTCGTCTCTTCTTCCTCGATGCTCCTGGCGGAACAGGCAAAACATTCGTGCTCAGCGCCATTCAAGACTTCCTTCGTACGCGCCGTAAGCAGGTCATCGCTGTCGCTACGTCTGCTGTTGCTGCTGTGCTGCTCGACGGTGGACGCACCGCTCATTCCGTGTTCAAGATTCCCATTCCTGTATCTGCCGAAAGCACGTGCAGCTTCTCCGCAAACTCCGACACAGGCCGTACACTGCAACAAGTCGATCTCATCATATGGGACGAGATCGTCATGTGCCATCGACATTGCATTGAGACTGTCGATCGCTCCCTTCGAGACTTGATGCAAACCGACCGGCCCTTCGGAGGAAACTTCCTCGTACTCGCTGGAGACTTTAGACAAATCCTTCCCGTCGTTCCGGGCGGGTCCAGAGGTCAAATCATGAGTGCGTGCGTCAAGGCTTCCCCGCTGTATCGAGAGTGCCGATTCCTGCGCCTTACCGAGAACATGCGCCTTGCTGCTCTCCGAGCGGACCCTGCAGCAGATGTGGAGGCTCTCAACTTTCCAGAATTCCTCCTCAGCGTCGGGGAAGGCAGACTTCAAGGCGAACAGCGCCCGGAATGGATCTCACTACCACAGTCCGTTGCGTTCGAGCACACCATCCGCAATTTATGCCTCAAGGTCTTCCAAGGCATTCGAGACAATCACGCCGACCCTGCCTGGCTCACCAAGCGCGTTATACTCACCACAAAGAACAGGCCGCTCGAGGAAGTCAACGAGGTCATCGGCAACATGATTCCGGGATCGTATCGAACGTATTTGAGCGCAGACAAGGTCGAGAACGAAGACACCAACGCGCTGATCTATCCCACAGAAATGCTCAACACCTTGACCGCCGGATCTGCTCTACCAGACCACAAGCTCAAGCTCAAGAAAGGCTTCATCGTCATGCTTCTGCGCAATCTCGATCCCGCTACCGGTCACGTCAACGGCGCGCGATATGTCATCGAGAACATGACCAACAACCTGCTCTTTCTACACGTTACCACCGGGTCACACCAAGGCAACAGACTGTGTCTTCCTCGAATGCCCTGCGGACCAGGAGACGACAACTTTCCCATCCCTGGCTTCACCCGAACGCAGTTCCCCATTCGCACGTGCTTCGCCCTTACAACGAACAAAGCGCAAGGCCAATCCTTCGGTGGCCGCATTGGTCTCGACTTACGAGATCACTGCTTCTCGCACGGTCAACTCTATGTCGCACTATCAAGGACTACTCACCCAGGCAACGTCACTGTCCTCACTCGAGAGTCCAATGAAACCACGCGAAACGTAGTGTACCCCGAGGTCCTTCAGTAGTTACCAAAAAAAGTAAACGCCATTGTCTTTACATATTTTCATTGCCACCCTTCCCAAATAGTGTTCCTCCACGCTTCCTTGGCTCGGCGCGCGAAGCGCGCACGGAGCCCACTTGTCTACAACTACTAAAATCCGTGTCTGTCTGTCTGTCTGTTTGTCGATCTGTCCGTTCACGCGTTGCCATTGGCGCACGGGCGACACGTGGCGGACAAGTGGCGGCGGCCACGGGGACACGTGGCGTGACAGTCTGTGCGTCTGTGCGTTCCCGCGTTGCCATTGGTGCGCTCTGTAGAAGCCGTCGTGCTGATTGGTGCGCCTAATATTTTCAATTTTTTCGATGTGCCTTTTCGCGGGAAAACAAATTTTGGGCGCACGGGGACGACACGGCGTACACGTCACGGCCACGTGAGGGACGGCCTGGACGCAGGCCAGGCCGCCACGGGGACACGTGGCGGTGGCAAGTGGCGGGGGGCTGCGGGGCGGCCTGGCCGCAGGCCAAGCGGCCACCAAGGACACGTGGCGGCTACGGGATGGGCAGAAATTACGTGGGTCATTTAAAAATTCCGCATGACCTCAGAGGCGGCAGCGGCGAGGGGAAAGGGTGTGTCACTGGCGGGGGCGAGGGGGCCCGCATGGCCACGCTGTCGCGAGGGTCGCGCACGGTGGGTGAAGGCAGAGGCCGCTGACGAGGCCCGAGAGGTGAGTGCGGAGCGCGGGCGGAAGGGGCCGGACTGCGCCCGGGGGGGAAGGGGGTGGCGGCGAGCGCCGGCGCGAGGGGCAGGGGCGAGGAACGCCGAAGACCGTCGCTGCGAGGCGGGCAGGTGTCGCAGCCGGCAGCGCAAGTAGACGCGCGCGGGTGAGGGGGGGCCGGGAATTGACGCCCAGGCGGTCGCGCTGCGCTCCTTCTGCGGGGTTTGCAGCGTACGAGAGGGAAGATTGACTAACTGCGATGACTGTGGGTGCGGGAGCGGCACCGCGACGGACGAGAAGGAGGGCCTACGGAAACGGCGTGCAGAGGGGAAGGTGGCTGTGATCGGCTTGATCAAGAAGAGAAGGGCAGGCGGGGGATAGGGGAAGCGCATCATAAGGGGAGGAGGGATCGTAGGGCGGTCAAACGAGGCAGGAGGGGAGGGGAACCAGGAGAGCGGAGGGCGGGAGAGTCGCTGAGAGCGCACGCGACGAAGCAGGGACAGCGGCAGCAGCAGCAAGGGTGGGGACGTCGGGAGCAGTAACTGCAAAGGTCGGAGCAGGAAGCCGAGCGGGAGGTGCACAGGCGGCGAAATGGGTGGAGCGGAAGGCGAGGTGGGGGTGCAAGCCCGGGCACGCGAGGCGACGGTTACTTGGGGGCGGCAAGAACAGCAGCAGGGGCGGAGGCCGGCGACGGAGAGGGCAAGGCCGCCGCAGGGCGGGAGGGAGCGGGGCGAGCCGCACGAGTAGAGGGGCCAAGTGGAGTAGGGCGGGGCGGCGGGTGAGGTGTGATTGCGCGGGCGTGTGCCTAGAGCGTGAGAGCCATAGAATAACGAAAGGGTAGGGGCACGGAAGTGGGAGTGCGGGGATTGAGGAAGCGAAGCGCCTCGCGGCGTAGGCGCCAAGCAACGCGGGCGGCGGCGAAACAGTCGAGAGCAGAAGCGGGGAGAGGGAGGGGGCAGTGTGGGCGGGGGGCCACGGGTTCGCCGGTACGGAGGTTGAGGCAGACGAGAGTGCCAACCGTAGCGACCAGGGTAACGGCCTGGGCAAGGGTGGCGAGCAGGACTGAGGCGAGTGTGGCGAGAGCAGCGCGACCTGCAGCCAGAGTGAGCACGGAGGGGCGGTACGCGTGGCAGGACGAGGGGGAAAGGGGCGACGAAGACCGGAGAGAGGACGAGAGCAGTAGCGAAGAGGACGGAGGAGCGGGGCGGGGAACGCCGGCAACGATGGTGGACCAGAGACGAAGGGACGGCGGAGCGGGAGGTGCGGGGCGAGGAGCGGAGAAAGAAGGGATTTGGCTCGGCGCGCGAAGCGCGCACGGAGCCCACTTGTATATACTAAAAGGGGAGTGTCTTGTTATCATAACACACGCCGACAGCGTGGAGATGTGTGCATACCGTTGTATCCTGGTACTGTACAGGTAATATCATGCACACGATTCACAGTGGGGAGCAACAATCAAACTGATATCTTACACGGTGTAATTTATCAGGTGGTTTGTTGCTGGTGTCATTTACACCCTGACTACGTCTTTCCGCGAAGAAGTCGCGCCAACATTCATCATTCACGAAAGAACAAGCGAAAGCACATCATCTTATCCTACTGATCCACACGACCGTCGCCATTGATTCTGCTTTCGTTGACAACGACAAGAGTGCTACCCGCCGAAGGCCTCAACCTTGGCTTTGTGTGACAACGACAAGAGTGCCACGCGCCGAAGGCCTCAACCTTCGCGTTGTGTGACAACGACAAAAGTGCCACGCGCCGAAGGCTTCAACCTTCGCATCCCTGTTTTTCTAACAGCTGGTGCTGTTCTCACGCAAAACACACTCGGCATCTCACCAACTTCTCTTTCTTTCTGTTCTGTCCTCGGAGTCTGGCTGTTTAGGAAGAATGCAGGAAAGCTTCCGGCAAGAGACGGGACCAAGCAGGAAACGGCGAAAGATACGGTCTCCCGATGTGTTCATAAGCCATGCTGGCCCGGACAAGCTACACATCGCACGTCTTCTTTCCCAGAAATTGGAAGATCAGGGTTTTAATTGCTTCCTCGACAAAATCTCGCTAAAGACCGGGGGCCACGGACCGGATGCAATGAAGAAGGCTATGGAGTCTGCTATGGTCGGCGTTTTCATTCTTTCTCCCGAGTTTGCAGCTCGAAAATGGACGATGAGGGAACTGCGTTGCTTCCTACGTAGAAGGGAAGAAGCAATAAGGAGTGGGAGGCAGCCACCAACACTGATTCCGGTGTTTTACAGACTAAGTATTCGTGAATGCAGAGAGTTGGAGCCCAACCGGTACCGGGATATGGAAGGAAAGGATATTTTTGAAGTGGAGAAATTTTTTAGCGAGGAACGACAACGCGAGGCGAGCACGGATATGGTGAAGAGGGAGCTAAAAGAGCTGGCAGATATCACTGGGATTGAAAATGACGTAAGGGCAACAAACCTGCCGGGAGATAAATTCGGCCATCATGCAAGGGAACATCTTGTTGAACAAGTATTTCTGGAGGTGAAAAAGAAATGTGAGGAGCACTCGAGCGATGTAGTGATAGAAGGCGTTCATGGCCCATTCGAGGAAGAGGCGAAGAGGAGCGACGCCATTGGCGATGCTCGTCATCAAATGCGTACTACATCCGCGGAGAAGGACCCGAAGAAGGATGGCTTCAAGGCTTCGTTTCAAGTGCCAAAGAACCCGGATCATGTCATACTGAAGTTTGGACGCAGTGAAGATGCTGGCAACAGTACGGAACGTATGACGGCTCCGGAAGAACGATTGAGGCGGAGTGTTTTGCGTCCGGGAGACCGTCAAAATGTTGGTGCTGTTGGAGCGCGCCGTGGAGGGGTTGTGGGGACGAAGGGGATGGGAGGCATCGGAAAGTCTTGCGCCCTACGCGGTCTGGCCTCGGATGAAGAGGTTCGCAGCCGGTTTTGCGACGGTATATACTGGCTGGTGCTCGGTCAAGACGCGACAAAACGAGGAGTAATGGAACAGCTGGCCCGCATCACGAGAGAAAGCGGAGGGGAAACGCAAGCGAAGGCGGTGCGTGAAGAATGCGTGCTAGAATCTGCGGTTTCGAGGGTCACAGAATGGTTCAAAGGGAAGACAATTTTGTTACTTATCGACGATGTCTGGAGAGAAGGCATGGTCGGGAGAGAAGGCATAGCCGGAAGTAAAGTCATGTCAAGACTGAGAGAAATTGCGGATGTGGAGAACAGCAGCCGTACAGCGTTCACAGCGCGAGAGTGGGGCGTGGTGGAGGGAAGCGAAGAAATCCAATTTTCGACAAAAGAAGATGCTTCCTCTCTGGAAATCTTGCTGAAGTCTGCTGACATACAACGTGAAGAGGTTGAGGGCCTGGGGGATCAAACGGATAGGATACTGAGATTTTGCGGTGGGCTTCCGCTTGCGCTGTCCGTGGTTGGCAGAGCGATTGCGAGACATCGTGAGATTGCGAAAGAACTTTGTCTGAAAAATGTGCTTGATGAGTACTTGGAGTGTCTGGAAGCTACATCGTCAATACTATTGGACGAAAGAGCGGATGGGACGTACCTATACGAGAACCTGTCAATGGCGTTTGAAGTTTCGCTGTGCATGATAGATCGAAAGAAGACCAGAGGAGATGGGCAGTTGATGTCCTACGCCGAGATGTACGAGTCGCTGGTGGTCATTCGGCGGCAAGGATGGTTGCCGTTGAGTGTGCTCTGTTTGTTATGGAGACGGAAAGGAAAAGCTCAGGCATTGAAAGTGCTGCACGAATTCGTGGAGGCCAGTCTAGTAGAACGAAAGGATGGAGTGTCAAGTGGTCGCAAGATCGCCGGAGTCAGGTTGCACGATTTGCAGCTCGATTACGTGCAACAGAGATGTGGGAATGGGGGAGAGAAGAAGTGGCATGAAAAGCTTGTGCAAGAATGGCAATGGAACGAGAGTGAGAACAGGCAAGAAGCGCCGCCGTGGGTTTGCGGGAGAGGGTGGAAGAAGGATATGGTGGAGGACGAGTATTTCCGACACAACTTGTGCCGCCATCTCAAGGGGGCGCAGCTGGGCGAGGATTTGTGGGATGTTTTGAGTGATGCCAGGTGGGTGGCAGAGAAGTTAACTCGGGCAGAGGGGCTAAATCTTCAAGAGGATTTCAAGATTTTGACGGACGTAGCCGGGGAAGACGGAGAACGGTGCGAAGCGGGAGGCAGGCTGTGGTCGTTGCAGAAGATTGCTAGACAGGCGAGGCTGAGTGCGTCCTTTGTTCGTCGAAGTTCGAGAGAGGTATGGTTTCAGCTGTACGATGGTCTGTTGAGATTTAGGAACGAGTCGGAAGTAATTGGACAGTTCTTACGCAGGATAGAGGAAGTTGCGGAGAAGCCGTGGTTGAAGTCGCTTACACCTGGCTTGAACGTATCAGGCGCGGTGCAACACATATTTCCGGACCAGGGGAGGGTGGTGGGAATGTCGGGATGCGCAGCTAAGAACGAAGTGATCGCTTGGGGGGGTAAGAAGAAGCATCTGTTTCGTCGGACATTCCGGGACGGGGAAATGGAAGAAAACGTGTTGTTTGAAGTGGCACGGGGTGTGAGCAGGTTTTGGTCGGAGAACGGAAAGTACGTAGCGGTACAGGCAGATAGAACAAGCGTGCAGGTGTGGGATATGCATACAGGAGCTACAGCAAAGCGAGTCGGACAGGAAGTGGATGTAGGGCATCTGGATGTAGAGAGTTTTAACAGTCGCCCTCTTGACTTGACGGGGGATGGAAAGCGAGTAGCGTTTGGGAGAGAAGATGGTGTGGTTGTGTTGTGGGATGTTGAGAGAGGTGTGAAGATCAAGGAGGCGGCGAATATGGGGGGCCATGTTGTTCAGAAAGTATCGTTTTCACCGGGCGGGAAACGGTTGGCGTGCACGGGAGAATGCGGCTCAAACGGGTTAATTTTGATACTGTGTGCAGAGACAGGGGAGATGGTTCGGGTGATCCGGGTGATTGGCGTGCCGAGTATTCGACCAGCCGATTGGATCAAGTGGTTGATTTCGTGGTCGAAGAATGGAAAGCGGGTCGCGTGCGTGTTCACGATGGAAAACATTGAAATATTTGTATCTGAAGCAAGATTGTGGATCTTTGACGGGGAGACTGGTAGGAGTATCGCGGAAAGCGCGCCGTTGAAACGCGTTGACTGTCTTGCATGGTCGGAGGACGGAACGCTGTTGTACTGTTGCGAGTCCGGTAGCGGGCAGGGTGTGGTGTCGGTATGGGACGGACGCTCGGGGAAGAGAATATCGAAATTTGATGATTTTTGGGCAAGGGCAATATCTCTGTCCGGGGATGGGAGATGGTTGGCTGCTTCCATTGGCGGCGGGAAGGTTTCTGTGAGGGACACAGAGACCGGGGCAGAAGTACGGCGGCACATGGCGCCACACGGGCCGAACGTCTTGGGCTGGCTAGAAGATGGAAAGCGGATGTTTTCTGCGGATGGGATTTTCAATATTGTCATTTGGAGGTGGGATAATCTGGAGAGGT